ACATAAAGCACCCTGATAATGAGGGTCATGTCTCCATCATACATTTCAGCTTCAGCCTCAGCATGGGCACCAACTTGGTGAAGGTGCTGTGCCAGCTGAGTGAAAAATGCATAAAGAGGAAGTGCCAGCAGCACTCCAATCCCATTTCATTTCCAGACCCACATCAACTGTGAAATTTATCACTGAATTCAACAGAATCCATCATAACACTTAAATCACAGATGGTGAAGCATTCACCTCTGCCTCCCACAGCACCTTTGCAAGTTTCCCACGCTATGGTTGCTTTTGGCCAGCATTCACCTCTTTTTAAGTCAATGCAACTAATTTCTCCGCCTATGAGAAATAAATGTTCAATTTTCAAAGACCAATGGCATGTTGCAAACTACTATTTACCTGCATTTAAACCCTAAATGTGTTCACTCTGCATGCATTGCAAATGCATTATTAAATGATTGCAAATTAAATGTAGTTGTAATTTGCAAAAGTCTGCTTCACATATTTGTGGTTCTAGCAGATGTCGGTTGGCACACTGACACTGACTCCACCAACTTTGGCCAGTTGCAGTTAGCATCCATTGAACAGCCAGTGATGATAAGGAATGCAGTTTGCAGTAGACACTGTTAGCACTGGGCTCCAGTGTCAGACACCACCGTTAGAAATTCCATCCCCCTTTCATTATTCATTCACGGGATGTAGGCGTCACTGGCTTGACCAGCATTGATTGCCCACCCCTAATTTTCCAGAGGGTAGTTAAGAGTTGACTATATTTCTGTGGGTCTGGAGTCACATGTACGCCAAACCAGGAAGGACAATAGTTTCAGAGATAGTAGGAACTGCAGATGCTGGAGAATCTGAGACAACAAGGTGCAGGGCTGGATGAACACAGCAGGCCAAGCAGCATCATAGGAGCAGAAAGGCTGACGTTTCGGGCCTAGACCCTTCATCAGAAAAGGGGGAGGGGAAGGGGGTTCTGAAATAAATAGGGAGAGAGTGGGAGGCGGATAGAAGAGGGATAGAGGAGACGATAGGTGGAGAGGAAACAAACAGGTCGAAGAGGCGGGGTTGGAGCCAGTAAAGGTGAGTGTAGGTAGGGAGTTAGGAAGGGGATAGGTCAGTCCAGGGAGGACGGACAGGTCAAGGGGACGGGATGAGGTTGGTCGGTAGGAGATGGAGGTGCGGCTTGAGGTGGGAGGAGGGGATAGGTGGGAGGAAGAACAGGTTAGGGAGGCAGGGACGAGCTGGACTGGTTTTGGGATGCGGTAGGGGGAGGGGAGATTTTGAAGCTTGTGAAATCCACATTGATACCATTGGGCTGCAGGGTTCCCAAGCGGAATATGAGTTGCTGTTCCTGCAACCTTCGGGTGGCATCGTTGTGGCACTGCAGGAGGCCCAGGATGGACATGTCATCTGAGGAATGGGAGGGGGTGTTGAAATGGTTCGCCACTGGGAGGTGCAGTTGTTTATTGCGAACCGAGCGTAGGTGTTCTGCAAAGCGGTCCCCAAGCCTCCGCTTGGTTTCCCCGATGTAGAGGAAGCCACAACGGGTACAGCGGATGCAGTATACCACATTGGCAGATGTGCAGGTGAACATCTGCTTGATGTGGAAAGTCTTCTTGGGGCCTGGGATGGGGGTGAGGGAGGAGGTATGGGGGCAGGTGTAGCACTTCCTGCGGTTGCAGGGAAAAGTGCCGGGTGTGGTGGAGCTGGAGGGGAGTGTGGAACGGACAAGGGAGTCACGGAGAGAGTTGTCCCTCCGGAAAGCAGGTAAGGGTGGGGAGGGAAAGATGTCTTTGGTCAATAGTTTCCTTCCCTAAATGACATTAGTGAACCAGACAGGTTTTTCCAACAATCAAGAATGGTTTCTTGGTCATCATTGGACTCTTAATTCCAGAGTTTTACTGAACTCAAATTCCACCATGGTGAGATTTGAACCCAGGGCCCCAGAATTCTTCCCAGGTCTCTGGATTAATACAGTCATATAGCACAGAAACAGGCCCTTCGTTCTAACACGTCCACAATAACTAGACATCCCAATCTGACCTGGTCTTATATGCCAACATTTAGCCATTACCCTCTATATTCTTTCTATTCTATTCACCCAGATACCTTTTAAATGTTGTAATTATAGCCAACTCTAACTCCTCCTCTGGCAGCAGATTCCATATATGCACCACCCTCTGTGTGAAAATATTGCCCCTCGGGTCCTTCTTACATTTTTATTCTCTCACCCTAAACATATGCCCTCTAGCTTTGGACTCCCCCACCCTAGGAAAAAGACACTGCCTATTCACCTTATCCATGCCCCTCATGATTTTATAAATCTCTATAAGGTCACCCCCCAGCCTCTAATGCTCCAGGGAAAAAAGCCCCAGCCTATAACTCAAACCTATGACTCCAAAACCCCCAGTCCCGACAACTGTATCTTTTCTGCATCCTCTCAAATTCAACAACATCTTTCCTATAGAAGGGTAACCAGAATTGTACCAATGTCCTATACAGCCACAACATGGCATGCCAACTCCTATACTCAATGTTCTGACCAATAAAGGCAAGTCTAGCTGTGACTCCACTTTCAAGGAACTATGCACCTGCATCCCGAGGTCTCTTTGTTCAACAACACTCTCCAGGACCCTACCATTAACTGTATAAATTCTGCCCTGATTTGCCTTACCAAAATGCAACACTTCACATTTATCTAAGTTAAAATACCACTAGGTCACTGTCTCCCCTTTTGCCTTGTCCTGTCTGACAGCCTATTTCTACCCAAACCTTTCCGTGTAAACCCACCACATTAAACTTTGCCTCCAACTATCCTCCTTGAACCTTTAGCACTGAGTAGTAGACTCGACAACTTTAAGGGCATTTAAATGGTCATTGGATAAACATATGGATGATAATGGAATAGTATAGGTTAGATGGGCTTCAAATTAGTTTCACAGGTCGGCGCAACATCGAGGGCCAAAGGGCCTGTACTGCGCTGTTAAGTTCTATGTTCTATGACATTGCAACTTAATGATGTCCACACTACTCCTGCATGCTTCCCTTGCAGCGGCCATTGTCATGGTCACTATCAATATGCTCCCCGGCCCCCCAACAACTTGCCATGCCCTCTATGCTGTCTGCATACCTCCTTTATACTTTGATTCTCCACCTCCCACTATTACAGTCTTTGTCCCCACTTCAACATGTCTCTGTTTCAGCCCCTGTCGATTGTCCAAAGCCCTTTTAGCAATGAGTCCCCATTGTCGTTACACTCCCCCATTAACACTCCTCAATGATCAATGAAAAGACTCAACCTCAACTAGCAATTCCTAGACATGACTGACCACACCCCTGATCAGTGTCTTTGTAGCTCCCCAACTAACAATTCATGATTACACTAGTGATGAACTAAAGAATTGACTGTTGTTCACTTCCTAGACTGTAGTTGGACATATCCCAACTAGCTAAGTAGACAACTGGCTGTGGTCAACCCCCTAGACTGTGCCCCTCATTGATAGTGGTCGGAACAGCTGACTGACTGCACCACCAAATCCTCTCAGACTGGACTGAGGACTAGTCCCCATCTTGAGACCATGCGGCTAAACAAAGATACAGTAAGTTTGATGTGTAGGCAGCTGGCACACATTGTAGGTGTTAGATTAACACCTTGGTGTGCTATAAAGCAATATGTCTCGCTAACTCTGGACAGATCCCAACTGATAAGCATGACAAGCAGCCTGTCTGTGTGTCTGTGAAAAGAACAAGTCAATACAGCAGTGCTGAAAGTCTTTAGGCTCTGGCTGAAGCACCAATGTGGTAATAAGCATAGCACAGCAAGGCATGGAGTGGACATGCAGGTAGACACTAAGTGAGCAAGTACTAAGTGAGCAAGCATGCAGCCCTGAGGTTTACCTTGGACCAATCTGTGAGCTGGGTGCATGTCCCGTGCGCAGAGTCTCCTTGGAGTAACTTCTAATACTAATTGCTGATGAGCCCTGCAATGCAGGTCCACCCTTCCTAAGCATCCTGCAAATGGATCAGAGAAGTGCCATGCAGATCCTGAGGTGTTTGCAATTGTTGGAGGCCAATGTGGAGTACACATGGACTGTGTCCTGAGATGCTGTGTAATAAGGAACATGCAGGTTCTTCATAGCCAGCAGTGAGCTGAAGTCACCAAGGACTAGCTCTGATTTCCGTATAGAGAATTCTCAGTATCTAGTTTGCTTGTGGCAGGTGTTAGGATAAGAAGCTGCACATTAACACAACATCCACAAGCATCCACTCCCTCCACCAGTGACGCTCAGTAGCAGCAGTGTGTACTATTTACAAGATGCACTGCAGAAATTCACCAAAGATCCTCAGACAGCAACTTCCAAACCCACAACCACTTCCATCTGGAAGGACGAGGCAGAGATACACAGAACACCACCACCTTCAAGTTCTCTTCCAAGACACTTACCATCCTAATTTGGAAATATATCGCCATTCCTTCACTGTCGCCGGTCAAAATCCTGGAATTCCCTCCCTAATGGCATTGTGGGTCAACCCACAGCAGGTGGACTGCAGCAGTTCAAGAAGGCAGCTCACCACTACCTTCTCAAAGGCAACAACAGCTGGGCAATAAATGCTGGCCAGCCAGCAATGCCCACATCCCACAAATGAATTTTTAAAAATTAATGAGACAACAAATGCAGTTAATGTGGGTTTTAATAAGAAATAATCCCCTTAATAAACAATTCATCATTCCCTCAACATCCAGAAATTAGTTAAAAATCCAGTGAGTTGCTCATAACATCAACATAGGCATCACAGCACTGCTTGTGTGATTCTGCCACATTTCTCACCATAATGCATGTTTTTCAACCTCTAAGGATTCCACTCACTGAGAAATAAGGGTTGCAAACACAAATAGCACAGCTCTTTTGTCTATAAATCCTAACTTATTTGCTATCAGTTCCAGTATTTAGTTTGAATTTTCCACTGATTTGAAGTTCCTATTTAGAATTGCAAAATCTTACTTTGATAAGTAGGTACGTGCAGACTCCATGGAATCTATAACGTCTTGAATCAAACGTGGTGATAAATGAGCCCCCTTCAATAGAACATCGGCCTGGACATGGCAGATTTGTGCAGTTCCATTTGCCCATAAAGCATTTGCTGTACAAATAATAATCAAACTTGTTTCATAAAATTCACAAAAATTATATTGTTAGACAGAATGTTCAACAATCATATTTTCCATTCTGGTTCATAGTTCAGAATCATTACTGGTATAGACTGACCCTTAAGATTCACATCTGCATTTCTGCTGGAAAAGTGATTACTAAGGTAAATGAGTACATACTCACCCCAGCCCCCAAATCCACCCTGTCTACTCCATGGTGTACCTAACTGCACAAACTTTTATAAGCTAATTTTGCTGAGTAAATAATAATGTGAACAACATCCTTTACTCAAGTCACCATCACTAGCAACTCATAACAAGGTAGAGCTGCCCTTTGAATTGTGAATCACCACAAGTTGTTGGTTAACTAGTGCCATTCTACTGTCATGATCATGTAACTGCAATATTGTATCCTGTTACAGAGAAGGCCACCTTGATTCTATATAGGTGCAACACATGAAACAATTACTGCTAGATGTTACATGTGTGATAATGAAAGGTGTGTGGTTATATATTTAATAATGCAACATTTTCAAGAGTTTGGATTATAAAGTAGTGACACATGGGTTTGGTCTGTTTGTGTGGAGTCATTTAAGAATTACTCAGGTCAGTCCTATCAGAAAAATAATTTTAAACTAGTATGTGTACGATAGCAGATGACTGAGGCCTCGTGGGATGATAATGGGAGTTTATTTATACTGTAGAGTTTATGACTGGAGAAGACAAAAACATTAAGTCATTAGCTTTGGAGAAGCTAGGATAAGCTAGTTTTATTTTTAATTTAGTTAAAAGCTTTTGAATCAAATTTGAAAGAGACGTGATTGAAGTTAAATGGAAGAATAGTTTCTCCTAAAAAAAAATTTGTTCTGAACAGTCAGGGGAACAAGTTACCTGAGTGAAAGGGCTTCAGTTTGTGAAAACTTCCAGACCAGAAGTGTTTGGTTAGAAATATGCATTGGTTGTTAAGATTTATGAAAGTCTAAGTTGTATGGATTAAAGGAAATGGCTTCACAGGACCAGAACTGAAAAGAGGCACTTGAGTCAACCTACAGATTTGATAGGAAGGAAACATTTTTTTCTGTATTTGATTAATTGTAAAGTGTTGGGGCATTGAAGGGATTTTTTTTGTCAGGTGTTTGAAATCTTTTTAAACGGAAGATAATTCGGCTTTTTTATTTTTAGTTCTTTTGCATAATAAACTTCTGTTTTCTTGTTAAAACCACATCTGCAGCCTAACATATTTGTTTCAGAGAAAGACCACCAGGTTAAATTAAGAAAACGATAAAATATGATCTATCAAAGCAGATTTGATTCTGGTATATGGTTTGTCCAATAGTAATATGAGCCAGGATCATAACACATGGTTAAATTTGTTCATACACTTCAGCAAGACAAATGCAGAAAGACTAGTCTTTCTCAATAGCAACTATAGCAACTATAGCTCAATAGCAATGGGATTTCCATTACCTCTTTGTTACCTCTTTGACAACACATCTAAAGATGTGAGAATTCGAAACTTTTGAGAAAAACAAGAAACTGGAAGAAACTTCCATAGAGAATTTTAGCATAATTACCTTCGCTTTATGGGACAATGATTTATCAAAAGTTACATGGCAGCCATCTTAATTGTGATATATGCAAAGCTATGATACTAAACTCAGAACTCCCCAGGAAAGCATTTGGGGGGGGGGGGCAACATTTTCAGAGAAGACAGTTATCATCTAAGAGCAAACATTTGCTTCAGGAACGAAGCATGGTTCTGTTGAAAAAACTTACAAGTGCTGAAACCACAGAACTAGTGAGGAACCTGAAGCTTACTCTCTCTCAAAAGCCTTTTCTAATTACTAAAACTACCTTTACAAGGAAACAGCAATAATTTGACGGTAGTACCTATCTCAATTGCTGGCTCTAACTTTAAGGTTTAACCTTTTAATTTCAGCAAGAAGGAACTCAAGCAACAGGCTCCAATGGTATACCACTGATACTTTATTGGGACTTCCTTCTAATAAGTATTCTTTTAACTTTATTAGTTTTAATTTTGGCATCTGTATTTTTTAGTTAATAAATTTATCTCTCAATTCCGAAGGAATCTTCAGCACTACCTTGCAACAAAGTAGCCTTTAAATTGTTTAAACAAAAGCTGACTATGCTGTCAAACAGCTGGTGGCCATGGCACTACCATTAGCTTTGCCAAAGCAGCATCAACCCCTAATTTCCTGTTACAATTCTAATGGAAGTAGTGCGCTGATAACTAAACTTCTTCGCTCCATGAGCTGCACCAAAATTGTAAATCTTTTATTTAATCACTAAAATGATCAAATGGTTTTTCCTATCTATTACTATCCAGAATAAAAGAAATGTTCAGCAGGTTTCAGTAATTATACAAAAATAACTCACTTATTTCAAGCTAACTTGTTCATGAAATAATTGGAAAGCCGGTTAACAATTAAACTACTGTGCACAATTAAACTACATTCCCTTAATCCCAAAAATGCATTTACATGACAGAAAAGACAGTTCAGCTCTTGAGAACTGATCTGGGGTAATGGGTCGAGTCCAAACTGAAAAGATTAAAATGGGGAGACTTCTCAGAATCCAACTGATGGCCAGTCAACAAGGCTAGGATGTTAACAGCTATATAATTGATGAGATCTTCAAATCAGACATGAGTTTAGATGACAGTTTGCAGTCCTTTTAATAATCAGGTTCCTATAATATTTCAACCAAAAGAGATCTTTCCAATGGATCTGCTTTAAGTTTCCCTGCCACTTTTCAGGAGTATTAGATTTTGGTCTTTCTAGTCTGGAGGTCTTTCTTCTACTTTTTATCCCACAAGGATACGGGAAAACATAGCAACTGCAGTCCAGAGGCTGCTGCTTGGCAAACTACAGCATAGGATAAAAACATCTCTACAGCGCAAAATCCCCTATCTCTCCTAAAAGCTTTGCTAGCATTCTTTCCTCAAAGTCATCTGATTTTTATGTAAATGGTAGGTGAATCACAAAACACTTTAGTATTTTTGCTTCTTAAGTTTTAAGAAGTCACATGGTCAACCCTCCTCAATGCAAAAACTGCCTAATTCTTTCCATCTCTTCTAGTTTCCTTCATTTAGTTACTTTTAAGGACAAAAAATCTCAACACTCCATGAGTTGTATGAACCTGCTGTAATTGCATATTAAGCTCTTATGAAATGCACTACTGAAAGATAACATAAGAACTGAAGAAACAATGGTGAATGCCTTTTGGCCTATCGAGCCTACTCTGCTAATCAGCAAGATCATTTTTTTAATTATTCGTTCATGGGACGTGGGCATTGGAGAGGTCAACATTTATTCCAATCCCTAATTCCCCAGAGGACAGCTAAGATGTTGAGGGTCTGGAGTCACATGTAGGTCAGACCAGGAAAAGGGGAAAATTTCCTTCTCAAAAGGATACTAGTGAACCGTGGCCAGGTGCATCTCATTGACTATGAGATCCTTGATTGAGTTGTTAACTTGGACAATCAGGCAGCCTTGGCTGGCAAATAAACAGGAGATTCACAAGAGCTCCACAGTCTAGGGACTGGTTTGAACTGGCTGGTCAGAGCCCATATACTGTGCACATGTAAATAAAGGGTGACTTGGTGATGAGACACTAGCTCTCTATCTAGTTATTTCATTTTAGGCTAGATTTTTAGCCTTCTATTAGAGTTGCAACAAGGCATTAAAGGTCAGGTGTTACATTTGCAAAGCTAGTAGTAGTGTCATAACCACAGCTTTTCTGTTTAATTAACATAGCTTGCTTAGACATCTTATTAATTGGAATGATTCAAGTTAAAGTTGACCAGCAATCAAGCTTTTCTTAAAACAACTTCTAGCTTACTTTTTACTGAATTCAAATTTCACCATCTGCTATGTTGGGATTCAAACCAGAAAATTAGCTTGAGTTCTAGTTTGCTAGTCTAGTGACATTACCACTGCACCATGAACTTGCCCCATAAAGTTTACCTCAACTCAAGCTTCCCATACTATCCTGTACCTACATCTCTTAAATTCCTCAGTGTTCAAAAATCTATTATCTTTGCCTTGAATATACTAAAGTGCGAAGTATTCACAGATATCTGGAATTGACAATTGCGAAGATCCACAACTCTTTAGGGGAGAAATTTCTCCTAATTTCATTCCTAAATGGTTAACCCCTTATTCTGAGACTACAAGCTTCCACCGAGACTCCTCAGCCATGGAAACATTTTATAGAGTCATAGAGATATACAGCACAGAAACAGGCCCTTTAGCCCAACTCATCCATGCCAACCAGGTTTTTTATTTGTCACATCCCTTGAAAATGTTAAGTTTCAATGACATGCCATTTAGCTAAATCCAAAGTATTAATGACTGAATTTACTCAATCTGTCCTCATTGGACAATCTCATCTGTAGCTTGTTGGACAATTAATTCATTTCATAGGTAATGAGATCAAAGCTGTACACAGCACTTCAGCATGGCTTGACTATTTCACAATTCACAGCAAAACTACTGTCATATTTCTTTACTCATACTCCATTCTCTTTATGACAAAAACAAATATTCCTTTTCCTTTATAATTGAGTGCATGCTCTGCATGTTAACCTTCTGTGATTTACGCACAAAATACTCAAACCCATCAGAACGTCAACATTTCTGATTTATCATTCAAAAATTGTCCTTTTTATTTTTCTGTCAAAGTAGATAGCTTTACATTTTAGTGCATTTCTTCCATCTGCCACAATGTTGTAATCTCACTTAACCCATATAATGTATCCTTCTGCAGCCTCTTTGCACGTTCTTCACCTTTCTTACCCAATTACTTTCCCACCTAACTTTGTACTTTCAGCAAACATTACACTCATCAAGTTATCTATATGCATTGTAAAGAGTGAGGCTCAAATACCAATCATTGCAGTACCCTTTTTGTTATAGTCTCCTAAACCAAACACATCCCATTTTTACTCTTACTTTTCTGTTTATTAGCCAAT